GCCTACTGAGTAGCTGGGATTACAGGCACGCACCACCATGCCCAGCTCATTTTTTGTAGTTTTAGTAGAGACGGGGTTTCACCATGTTGACCAGGATGGTCTCGATCTCTTGACCTTGTGATCCACCCGCCTCGGCCTCCCAAAGTGCTGGGATTACAGGCTTGAGCCACCGCGCCCGGCAAGAGAGTAACTTTTTTTTGGTCTTCAATAAAGGGAATATCAGGGAGAGTAATTCTGATATGGAATTGAGTTGGGATATATTTCCTTCCTAGAATAAATTCCTATGGAAGGTAGACAATTATCAGAATTTTTCCCCCCTTAGGTCAGATGGGTAATGTACCGATGTCATAACAAGGTTCAGAGGGTGGCATATCTCCCATGTTCTCATGAACACCCAATCATCATGCTCATGAACTACAAAAGGACCAAATTATCAGAATCTTAATGGACACAGGGATGGATGTTTAGAGGACATTGAGATTCTCATAACAAGAGACATCCCTGTTGGGAAGCAGGCCATAGACATAGTAGATGGGGTCTTTACTGAGGGACTGGGAAGTGAACAGTGTGAACTGAAACAAGAAGAAGATTCCTTGTGCATTTGGTGGTACAATCTGGGGAATGACTGCTAAATTCAGATGGACTACTTGACTGTCAGGGCAAAAGATGTTACTTCCCAATATTTCTTCTACTTTAAAAAGTTTCTCACTCCTCCAGATGTAAAGAAGACATGGAAACAGGGAGGTGATATTAGACATTGGGAAGAAAGAAAGCCAAAAGTTATCTCTAAGCCAAGAAGGTAGATGACATTATGAATTTCTGAGGCTGGTTAGTGGCATATAAATAGGACTTCTTGGGACTGGTAAATATGTGCATGGACCCAAACTTGGAAAGTCTGGTGACTGTGAACAGGAAACATGAGACTCCATCTTGTACTAGTGACAGAGACGGTCTTTCCTGATAATGTTCCATTTCCCAATGTCTCAAGTAGCCCTTGCATTGACCTCACTTGGCTCAACTCTGTTGTAGTTGCAGCTGGGGAGTCAATCACTTTGGCCAAATGGTTCAGGGAGGCCAATGGAGGCTTTTTGGCTTCACTTTTGCCATCCTCCTCTCACATGCACACCGCCTCAACTCGGCAGTCCTTTGAGAAAGCCATTCCACTGATGATGGCCACACAGCCTCTGCTTCTTGGGGTTGTGTCATCTAATACAATATGAAATCTTTCAAAGAAGGAAAAGGTAAATTTAATCACACTCTATTTCTAAAATGAAGCATTAAGTATCCATTCTTCCTTGGGTGATGAAATTATAGTCTCTGTACCAAAATGAGTTTACTTGAAATGTGGGGTCACCAACCTCTTTCTTTTCCACTCCTCAATTTCCATACTCATTCTTAGAAACAGCAGGTCACCCAAAACAACAAAAATCATTTCTAACTGAAAGTAAGCTGTATGTTCTACTCCAAATTTATATGATTTTCCTGCCACTTAAAAACTTATCTACCTCTCTGTAACTCAGATAACTGTAAGATACAAATGATTACATAGACTATGTCCTGTCTCCTGGGAGGCTAAATCCTATATTGTATATAGGGAAGAATGGTGTCTGTTCAAACATGGCTTTAAATGAAATATGTTTTGACAGAGAAACTACATTTTCCTATTTCAAAGGATACCTTGGGTCATTTAGAGTTAGGAACCTGTAATGCAGTCTTTTGTGGCTTTGTAGTGGGGTGAAAACTTGAGTCATATCCATAACAATTTCTTTATTTTAAAAGCAACCTAGTTAACATGTTAAAATCTCAGTGGTTAATACATAAGTAGGTATTAAATTATGGTTTACATCTTCGTGTAAATTTGAAATATTTCATAAAATAAAACAAATTGTTAAAATAATAACTTGGATATTTTTATCATGTTATGACAAACTTGCTGTGGTGCTCAGTAGCTTCTGCCCTCTCTCAGGCAGGTCTGCTTGCCTCAGAATTCTGCTAGGAACTGGTGGGAATTCCAGCTCTCTATTGTAAGATAGCACGGGGGTAGAGTGACCAGGACATGCTTACCTCCAGTTTTGTCATAGAGCACACGACAGAGTGTTTCAGTCACATGCTGCAGCTTTTCTGCAAGCTCCATGTTCTGGACTTGAAGAGATTTTAGCTGTTGGGAGATATTTCTTTTTTTTTTTTTTTTTGAGACGGAGTTTTGCTCTTGTTACTCAGGCTGGAGTGCAATGGCGCGATCTCGGCTCACTGCAACCTCTGCCTCCTGGGTTCAGGCAATTCTCCTGCCTCAGCCTCCTGAGTAGCTGGGATTACAGGCACGCACCACCATGCCCAGCTAATTTTTGTATTTTTAGTAGAGACGGGGTTTCACCATGTTGACCAGGATGGTCTCGATCTCTTGACCTCGTGATCCACCCGCCTCAGCCTCCCAAAGTGCTGGGATTACAGGCGTGAGCCACCGCGTCCGGCTGGGAGATATTTCTTAAGGTTTCTTTCTGTTGCAAGGTGGTGTCTTGCTGAGTATTGATGAGATGGTGGTACTAAAAAACTAACCCAAATAACCAAGTCAGACTGGACAACTTATTTCTATTTTCTGCATATGAGGAAGACAAACAACATCTGTTTTAGTATCTTAGAGATCTTATATTGCCTATATTCAAGTTTAGATTCCAGAGCATATATGATATATTAATTACATCACCTTGGGAAAATTAACTTCTTTAAGTCTGTCTAAAAATGTGGAGTCACAGGGAGAAAATGACAGGAGATAGGAGTAAGGCACAGCTCCCACTTGTATGACAGAACCGTGTTTGAAGACTGAAACTGTAAACTTTTCTCCAAAAACACCTCAGAAATATATGAAGCAAACTGAAAGAATTCATAGATCCATTGAAACAATTTGTCACTGCAAATTCTGTGAGATAGCCAAAAAACTTTGTGGGGGAAAATCTTCCTCTGAACACACAGCCCCACTGGGAATCCTGAAAGGGAGCCATGCAAAATATAAAAGTAGAAGAAGCAGCTGGAAGAGCCTGGTAGGTACTCCCATTCTCCAGCTTGAGCCCAGCAAAGTGATGGATGACTTTATCTCACAGGGGTCCTCGGAGAAGGCGGCCAGCAGAATTAGGGAGGATGTCTCAGGATGAAAGAAGCTGGCAACTGAACTTGGTAATAATGTGGACTGGGCACAAATTTTCTTGATGGCAATCCAGGGAGCAAACAGGAAATGCTGCAGATATAAGCACAGGAGCTGTGGCTTAAAGTGTGGGAAGGCATGGAGGGGTGTGGCCTAAATGCATGATTGCTTTCTTAGAGGCTTGTAGCCAGGGGCAATGACTGAGCCGCACGGGCTGCCTATTATAAACTTGGCCCTGTTGGTGGGGCACAGCAGGAGCAAGACGGGTCTCCTCAGCTGCCTGGGAGCTGGTTAAGGACTGTCACTGCCAGCTTTCTTCCACTTTCCTGGTGACCTGTGTGACACAGCACAGGCAGCCATAATCCCCTCTGAAACATAACTCCTTTGGCCTGAGAACCAATCCCCATCCCTGACAGCAGCTATGGCAAGCCCCACCCAAGAAGAGTCTGAGTTCAGATATGCATAACCCTGCCCCCACCAGATGCTATTTCTCTTGCTGCCCTGGTATCCAAACACACACACAGAAAAACATAAATTTTGGGAGCAATATGGCCTTGTTCATGGCTTGAGAAATCCGAATACTTATCCTGGCCAACTTAGAGCAAGCTTTTGTACCCCTTCTACTCCAACAGCTGTTGCTGTCTTGAAAGTGCCACCTCCTGGCTGGAGCAAACAAACTCAAGCCATTACAGCAACTCATGAGAGTAAAACTCTGCTCAAAGTAAGAAGACAACAGCTAATTCCAGTGACTAAAACATCCTGGCTAAGCAGAGGTCCTGAGTCTGTCCACGTGACAACTTCATTGCTGGTATAACCAGCATTCGAGAAAGTCAGCACACTACACATATCTACAATCAAGGTCCTCACAGAATCTACTTCCACTCCCCTGCTAGCTACATCAGCGCAGATCCTGGTTTCCATGGCTGGGAGACCTGAAGATGGATCACTTCACAGGACTCTTTGCAGACATTCCCCAGCAGCACCCTGGAGTCTGGTAGCCCTGCTAGGTGGCCAGACCCAGAAGAGCAATAACAATCACTGCAGTCCATCTCTCAAGAAGCCGAATCCATAGGGGAAAAAGGAGAACACCACAGCAAGAGATTACCACATGGGATGAAAAAATCTGAACAGCAGCCCTTGAGTTTCAGTTCTTCCAGCTGAAATAATTTACCTAAATGAGAAAGAATCATGAAAATAACTCTGGTAATATGACTGAACAGGATTTTATAACACACCCAAAAATCACACTAGACCCCCAGCAATGGATCCAAAACAAGAAACCTCTGAATTACGAGATAAAGAATTCAGAAGGTTGATTATTAATTTACTCAAAGAAGTACCACAGAAAGATGAAAACTACCGTAAACAAATTCTTTAAAAAATACAAAATATAAATGAATAATTCTTCAGAGAAATAAATATCATAAAGACAAAACAAGTACGCCTTGTGAAATTGAAAGACGCACTTAGAGAAATACAACATGCATTGAAAAGTTTCAACAGTTGATTAGAACAGATAAAAGAAAGAACTTCAAAGCTTGAAGACAGGGCAATTATCCCAATTTGACAAAGACAAAAAAAAAAAATTAAAATATGAGCAAAGTCTTTCAGTAAGTTGGAGTTATGTTAAATGTGCAAACTTAAGAATAATTTTTGTTCTTGAGAATTAAGAGGAATCTAAAAGTTTAGAAAATGTAGTTGAGAGAATAAACCAGAAAAATGTCCCTGGCCTTTCTAGAGATCTAGACATCCAAATACAAGAAGTTCAAAGAACACCTGGGAAATTCATTGAAAAAAGATCATGACTTAGGCACATAGTCATCAGGTTATATAAAATTAAGATGAAGGAAAGAATCTTAAAAGCTGCCAAAAGCATCAGACAATCTCTCATGGAAAGCCTATCAGATTAACAGCTGACTCCACAACAGAAATCCTGCTGGTCAGAAGGATTGGGGTTTTACCATGAGCCTCCTCAAACAAAATAGTTTTCAGCCAAATATTTTGAGTCCAGCAAAACTAAGCTGCATAAATGAAGGAAAGATAGTCTTTTTAAACAAATAAATGCTGAAAGAATTTGTCACCACCAAGACAGAACTACAACAAATGAAAAAAAAAAAAGAGTTATAAATCTTTTTTGTTTTTTCTTTCACTGGAATGCAATAAGGAATTCTAAATCTTGAAACAATACCTCAAAACACAAAAAAATACTACCTTCTAAAAATATAAATATCACAGGGCCTATTTAAAATTTTTAAAAACACACACACAAGTTACTCAGGCAACAACTGGCATGATGAATAGAATAGTGCCTCGCATATCCACACTAACATTGAATATAAATTCCCCAAATGCTTTACTTAAAAGATACAGAGTGGCAGAATTGTTAGAAATCCAACAACTAAGTTTCTGCGGTCTTCAAGGGACTCAACTAATACATAAAGACTCACATAAACTTAAGATAAAGAGGTGGAAAACATATTCCATGCAAACAGAAAGCAAAAATAAGCAAGGGTAGCTATTCTTAGAGCAGACAAAACAGTCTTCAAAGCAAAAACAGTAAAAAACTAAAAAGATGGACATTATATAATGATAAAAGAAATTCCCCAACAGGAAAATATTACCATCCCAAACATATATGCACCCAACACTGGAGCTCCCAAATTCATAAAACTATGACTACTAGATCTAAGAAATGAGATAGACATCAACACAATAATAGTGGGGGATTTCATTACTCTACTGACAGCTCAAGATATGTTATCAAGACAGAAAGTCAACAAAGAAACAATGGACTTGAACTATATCCCAGAATAAATAGAGTTGGCAAATGTTTATGGAACATTTTACCCAACAACTACAGAATACACATTCTTGTTATCAGCACAAGTAACATTTTCCAAGATAAGCCATATGCCAGGACACAAAACAAGTCTCAATAAATTTAAGAACGTCTAAATTATATCAAGTAACCTTGTAGAACATGGTGAAATCAAATTGGAAATGAACAACACAAGGCACTCTTAAAAGTACACAAATCCATGGAAATGAAATAATCTCCTTAATGAACTTTTGGGTAAACAACTAAACTAAGATAGAAATTTAAAAAGTCTTTGAACTAAACCATAATAGTGACACAAGTTATGAACACCTCTGGCATACAACAAAAGCAGTGCTAAGAGGGAAGTTCATAGCATGAAATGCCTACATCAAAATGTCTGAAAGAGCACAAATAGACAATCTAAAGTAATACCTCAAGAAACTAGAGAAACAAGAATAAACCAAACTCAAACCCAGTAGAAGAAAAGAACTTACAAAGATCAGAGCAGAACCGAATGAATTTAAAATAAAAATACAAAAGATAAATGAAACAAAAAGCTGGTTCTATAAAAAGATAAACAAAACTGATAGGCCATTAGTGAGATAAGTCAAGAAAATAAGAGAAACTTTCCAAATAAGCTTAATTAGAAATACAACAGGAGATATTACAACCGATACTAGAGAAATACAATTATTTAAGGATATTATATACACCTTTTCATGCACAAAATAGAAAATCTAGAAAAAATGGATAAATTCCTAAAAATATACTTAGATTAAAATTCCTAAAAAATATCTTAGATTAAACCAACAATAAATAGAAACTCTGAACAGAACAATAGCAAGTACTGAAATTGAAACAGTAATAAAAACATTGCCAAAAACAAAAAAGTACAGGACCTGATGGATTCACAGCTGAATTCTATGAGACATTTAAAGATTTCTTACCAATCTCACCAAAACTATTCCAAAGGATAGAGAAAGTAAGAATCTTTTAAAAGTCGTACTATGAAGCCAGTATCACTCTAATACCAAAACCAGTAAAGGGGTAAAGGACAACAACAACAAAAAACTACATACCAATATCCCTGATAAACATTAATGCAAAAATCCTCAACAAAATACTAGCTAAATGGATTCAACAGCATATTAAAAAGGTAACACCCCACAATCAAGTGGATTTCATATCAGGGATTCAGGGATGGTTTAATATATATAAGTCAATAAATGTGATATA